GCCCTTCCCAGCAGGCCGACCGACCGGTGACTTCTGAACGCCGGACTGCTGGGGGCGTGGCTTGTGGCGGGCGTGGCTTGTGGTGGGCGTGGCCGGCAGCCAGGTACGGTCTCGCCCAGGAGGACGAGGTGTCAAAGGAGGGGCAGGGTGTGAAGGACTGGGGTACAGGCGGAGACATCCGTGTGAGGAACCCAGTGTCAGTGAGCACCAAGTTCCTCCTTTTGCTTCTGACTCCACCCCCAACCCTACCTTTTTCTCCCCCGATTCCCCAAAAGCGGAAACTTCCACAAGCCAATCAGGAGTCCGCGTTAGCATGACGTCATAAGTTGCCAGGCAGAATTCCACAGCGCCCTTCCAACTCCAGCCCAGAGGACACGCAGCCCCAAAGCAGGGAAAGGCTGAAAACCCAGGCCAGGGTGGGGAACAAAGCCAGACAGACTCAATCTCGATCTTGCATCTCTAGACCTATTTGGGTACAGCCAGGCGTATCTGGCATGGCCTCTGATCTTGGGGTGTCACTGACCCCCTTTCTGTCACATGGGGTCCAGTGGAGGGCTGCGGTCCTGAGAAAAGGCTGCGAGGATGCCTGGTTTAGTTCCCTTTATTTCACGTGTCGGACGAAGATGTCAGGTTCTGTAGAGCATATCTTTGAGAAGACATTTTGCACGCCCCTCCTTTTCCCCCTTCTCTTGAGGGACGCCCCAACCCCGGGCTGGGCCACCTGCCACACTGTGCCCACACGTGGGCCTGTCCCCGTTCTGGGTCCATGGCGTTCCTTCCTCCTCCCCAGGGCCACCCTCGGGGCTCAATATGGCTCCATGGCTTTTGGAGGCCCTCCTCGTCCCCTTCCTCAGAAGGACCAGCTGAGATCAGCCCCCTGCAGCCCCCAGTCGTGGACTTCTGACTCCCTGGGCCCCCCCAAGAGGCCTCCAAGTTCGCACTGGCTTCAGCAAGGGCTGGATTGAAGCAGAAATGGTGGGGGCCAAACAGGCAGCTGGGGTGGGAGTCAGTCAGGGCAGGAAACGGGACACGGGGGCACAGCCCTGCTCCATACACCCTGGCCCACGATCATCAGGGGAAGCTAGAAACTGGAGTTGAGCAAAACCTCTCTCGGCTGTCAGGTTGGCTGATCATGATCATTTGTCCCCCTCACCCCACACACCAAGTTTCAGTGAAGGAAAAAAAAAAACAAAAACCTCCAGGGACTGACTTTGCCCAGGTGGTAGGGAGTGGGTGAGCTAGCTGGGAGGGGCATTGGCATCCAGAAATCAGCTCAGTAGCTGGGGTCTCCCTGTGCGTGTCATGGAGGAGGTCACCCCTGGAATGGCCAGCTTTGTCCTGCCAGTGCAAGGCTCAAGGCTTTGCACTGGTTTTTACTGGGGGCACGAGGTGGGCCTTGGAGGTAACAGCATCCCAAATTGGACAAGTGGACCCCAGAGGGGCCCAGACAGAGATCCACCGCACCCAGGCCTGATGGGGTCATTTCAGACAGGACCCACAGAGAGCAGAGGGGACCCTGGATGCCACCGGAACATTCCAGATTTGGGAAAGGTGAAGCGGAATGAGGATTTCACAGGTGGCAAATGATGGGGGGCCAGGTGGGGGGCATATGTGACAAGTCACAGGTGGACAGAGCTGAGGCCTCCAAAGGCTCCCCGAAGACCCTCGGGCATAACCAGGCCGCTTTGGATCTCACCCCCCTCCCCTGGCAGCCTCTGTGGGGTACTGAGATTGGGAGGTACTGGTGAGGGATGTGGTGGGTGCCTGGCCGGGGCTGGGGGGATTCCAGATATCACCAGGGGGATCCCCAGGAAGCCTTACAGTGGTCCACAGAGCCTGTGACCCAACCCTGCGTGTGAATCCCAGCAGGCCCTGGGCAGGGCTCAGGGGTGGTGGTCCCCACATGTAGGGGTCCACAGATGCTCAGCTGTCTCCAGAGGGGTCCAGCCAGGGCCCCTCCCCAGGTCCACCCCTCCCCGGACTCCGGTGGGGTTCAGGCCCGGCGTGGGGGAGGCAGCAGAGCGCTGTCGAACTGGTAGGTGAGCTTGCGCTTGACCTTGCGGATCTCGCCGGTCTTGGCGTAGTTGCGTAGCGCGCGCGCCAGCTTCTGGTAGGTCATGCGCTTGCGGTTGCCCTTCTGCTGCCCCCAGCGCCGCGCCAGCAGCTCCTTGTGCTTGGAGGAGAACTGGAAGACGCCCGCGCCAGGCTCCACCCACCACACACACTCACGCATGTCGCCACGGGTCAGCAGCCCCAGCAGGAACTGGTACAGCCGGACCTTCTTGCGCGCCCCTAGAGTGAGGTTGTGGGGGAGGCTCCAATTAACCAGTCAAAAAACAGACATGGAGGTACACTGCAAGTGGTAGAGCACCAGCCTTGTGTAAAATAAGCTCAGGGATGGTGTCCAGGACTCAAGTTCAAACCCCAGGCCCAGCACACATACAGATAATAATAATGTCTTTCTGGCAGCCTGGGAGAGCGAGGGCTGACGGTGACCGTGACATTTGCGCGTGGAAAACAGGACCAACGGGAAAATAGCCAGAAAGTTAATGCACCAGACACATAGGCACTAGGAAGATGCTCAGTACTGGGATTTGAACCTGTGGCCTCTTCCACAGACAAGCTACCACTTGCATCCCAGCCCCAGCCCTTCGGTTTTTTTTGTTTTTGGCTCCTGTTGTGGGGCCTGAACTCTGGGCCTGGGCGCTGTTCCTCAGCTCTTCAGCTCAAGGCTAGCACTCTACCACTTGAGCCACAGCGCCACTTCTGGCTTTTTTTCTTTTATTTTGCTTATGTGGTGCTGAGGAATTGAACGCAGGGCCTCATGCATGCAAGGCAAGTGCTCTACCACTGAGCCACCTTCCCAGCCCCAAGCCCTTCAGTTTTGACTCTGTTTTAGAGACAGGATCTTATTAATTTTGCCTTGCTAGCCCCCAACCTTCTTGTTCTCTGCCTCCTAAAAAGCTGGGACTACAGGTGAGCCCCACCATTTCTGGCTTAGAAGCAAAAGTTGGGTCAGACCTTGGGACTCCTTTTGCTACTGCCGTGTGCATGTCCACACAGAGTGCCCGCCCTGTGGCCCCTGTCCCCATGGCTACCCCCACGGACACAGATTGTCCCCTTACTACCTTGGATATTCATCACCCAGGCCACACTGGAAAGCAAGGCCTAGAGAGGTTGAGACATTTGCGCAAGTCACCCAGCCAGTAGATCCAGGCACTGGCTCCACAGCAGGACTATACACAGGCTCCCACTCCCCCACCTCGAGTTGGGGTCCCCGACATCCCCAGATCCCCACACACCTGCCTCAGATCCTCTTCCCTCGGGGCCGGCCATGAGGGTCTCGTCTGACTCGCTGTCTGACACCTCCAAGGCAGGGCTGACCAGCAGCAAATCTTCCTCCTCAGATAGCACAGGGCTGGGGTACGGGGCGTAGGCCAGGTGGCCAGGGGTCTGCAGAAGGCCAGGGATACCTGAACTTCTGGGGATCCCTTCTCTCCCTCCCTCTCCCTCCTCCTCCCCTGTGCCCTCCTGAATCTGGTCTCTGTTTTCTTATTTTTATTTTCTTATTTTTGGTGTGTTGGCTCTGGGGCTTGAACTCAGGGCCTGGGTGTTGGCTCTTGAGTGGTTTTTACTCAAGGCTGGTGCTCTGCCATTTGATTCATGGCTCTACCTCTGGCTTTTTGGTGGTTCATTGGAAATAAGATTCTCTTGAATGTTCCTTCCCTGGATGGCTTTGAGTTGCGATCCTCAGATCTCAGCCTCCTGAGTAGTTAGGCCTACAGGCATGAGCCACCAGTGCCCAGCCTTTTTTTTTTTTTAAAGACATATATAGCCCAGCTGGCTTCATATTTGTGATCCTCCCATTTCTGTCTCCCAAGGGCTGGCATTACAGGTGTGTGCCACCATGCCCAGCTCTGCCTTCTCTTTGCTCATAGTAGGGACCCAGGCATTGTGGCCAGGAGTCGCCCCCCCCCCATACAGGCCTGCAGAGAAAACCATTCTGTGCCTCCATGGGTGCCTGGAGTAATGTTGGGGTGTGACTTCACAGAGCTGTGACAGAATGTGAGGGGTGACTGTGGGCACAGGTTTGCTGACTGATGTGTTTGGCTCCTTCAACTGGCCAGCTTTTTCTTCTTCTTTTGTCATTATGGGATTTGAACTCAGGGCTTTGTTCTTGCTAAGCAGACACTCACACCCCCAGCCCTTTTTGCTCTGGTTATTTTTGCCCAGGCAGCTAGATTGCTCTTTGAGTTTTCCACCGTAAATAGGCTGACAGGCATGCACACCATGCCCTGATTTTTCTGTTGAGATAGGGACTCCCAAACTTTCCTGTCCAGCTGGCCTCAAACCATGATCCTCCAGGTCCCTTCCTCCCAAGTAGCTAGGATTGCAGTGTGAGCCTGTGTGTTTGGATTTTCTCCCAGACACTCACCTGGCTGGTGAAGTCCTCTGGAGGGTAGGTGGGGAGGCCAGGCCCAGGGGCCTCCAGGCTGGGTATGGGGTCGAGGCTCCCCACTGGGCTGTAGGCGGAGGGGCCGTAGCAGAGCTGGACAGCCTGGGGGTGGCCAAAGGCAGCCACTGCTGGGTCGAGGGCTTCGTAGGGGGTGGCAGGGGCAGGTGGAGCCTCAGTCCAGCCCCACGAAGGGTCTGGGAAAAAGGAGTGAGGGGTGGGGAGGCCTGAGCCAGCCAGCACCCCACACACAGGATCCATTGTGGCCGTGCAAATTTCTCACCCCAGGATTTGCATGGGGAACAGAAGGTGGGAAAAGAAAGGGAAGGAGGTGTGGAGGCCTATGTCCCTTCCACCCGCCCCACCCCTGCTCTTCTGGGTGGGTGACATTTCCCCTGGGCCTCAACTCCCCAGCTGTGAAATGGGCCTGGTGCTCAGGGGGTCACTCACCAGGGACTCCTTCTGCATCGGGGTAGCTGGTATGTTTGCAACTATCCAAGTCATAGAAGATGCTGTCTGGGTACTGCCGGGGTGGGTGGGGAGAAAGTCATCCCAGGTTTGGGGCACCCCTCCCACCTACCCACAGCCTGGGAGAAGAGACTATGGCCCATCCAGGGGAGAAGCTAGAAGGAAACAGGCAGAGGAGGAGGATCAGGAGATGAGCATAGTGCTGTATGCCTATAATCCCAGCACTGTAGAGGCTGGGACAGGGAGACCCTGTCCCAAACACACACACACACACACACACACACACACACACAAAGAGGAAGAAAGACAGAAACCAAGCGGGGAGGAAGGAGAGGGAGACAGAGACAGAGGCAGAGAGAGACTGACTCTAAACCATAGAGATAGGGCTACGGGGAGACCCAGAGACACAAGCATGAAAGGGCCACACGGACAGTTCCTGCCAGGGCTGGCCATCGGGGAGCCGGGGAGGTGCTGTGGCTGAGGTCCCCAGCCTCCCCTGGCTGTGATGGGGAAGTAAAGGGTAAGGGGGGGGAGAAGGATTGGGACTGGGGGGGAGGGGGGAGGCTGGGAAGGGATGTGAAGGGTAAACAAAGGAGGAGGCTGCAATGCTTGGTAAGAAATGTATGCATTATCCTGCCCATGTAATTGTAACCCCTCTGTACAGTATGTTCACAAATTAAAAAAAAAAGGGTAAGAGGAGGTAAGTGGGTATGGGGGGGGACCCTCAGTGCCCCTTTAACCCATCTCCATTTGCGCTCTGGTATCCTACGGATTGCACGCGCCTTCAGCCACTGAAGGCGGGTGGAAATTCAGGCTGAAGCCAAGCCCAGCCCTCGCCTGTTTCTTTGGACAGGAGAACTGAACATCTACGTCCACAGAGCTGGCCCAGGCAAGAACAGCGTTGTTCATCATCTGAGAGCGGGAGCAGCCCAGGCAGCTCTCAAGAGGAAGACCAATAAGCAAATACGGCTGTGCGCACAGGGAGTAGTACTATGCAGTAAGGAAAAAGGGGCAGTGACCCAACTCGAACTGTCCCAACATCCACTGAGGGAATCACAAAAAGGGCAAAAACAGACATCATGAGTCAATGGTGTAAACTACTGGGAGTGGGACTATCTGGGAAGGTATTCCAGGGAATGTTCTAGATCTAGATCTGGAAGAGGTGACACAAATGGGTGAATGGGTCAAACTTGAACTTCTAAAAATCAAGGAAAGCAGGTATAGTAGTGCAGGCCTGTAATCTCAGCACTGGGGAGGCAGAGGCAGGAGGATTATAAATTCCAGGCCAGCAGAGGCTTCACAGACCCTGTCTCAAAAAAAAAAAAAAAAAAAAACCCAACAAAATTCAAAGTGGGTTTCTGGCAGCCACAAACAAGGAAGTCTTATTTCTTGGAACAGGTTGCGGTTCAAGGGTGTTGGTTTAAAATGTTATAGAACAGAAACATTTAGCCAGGCATAGTGGTGGTTCCTTGCCTGTAATCCAAGCTACTTGGGAGGCAGAGCTCAGGAGGCTCATGGCTCAAGGCCAGCTTGGAAAAAGTTTGTGTGACCCTATCTTTTTTTTTTTTTTTCTTCACGAGACCCTATCTTAACCAATCAAAGCTGGGCAGAGTGGTACACGCCTGTTGTCCCAGCTGTGTGGGAAGTGTCAACAGGATTATAGTCCAGTCTGGGCATAAATCTGAGACCTTATCTGTAAAGTAACAAAAGCTTAGGTGTGTGGCTCCACAGTAGAGTGCCTGTCTAACAAGTGGAAGGCCTTGAGTTCAAATCCCAGTCAGACAAAATAAAACAAAAATACAAAATGGAAACAGTGGAACAAAAGGTTGGGAGGGATCGATCCCCTGGTCGAATGTAGAGTAGTTGTTAAAGCAGCCAGAGGAAGGTGTCAGAAATAGGTCTGTGGTTGGGGGGTGAGGGGTGGGTGGAGATCTGGGGAAGGGAAACTGAGGCAGAGTGAGGGCTTTCGCTAAGAAAAGTCACAGCAGGCCTTGTGGGTCCCCCACCCCTTCCGATCCCAGGGGGCCCGCCGACTCACCAGGCAGCTGAAGTGTGGCGGGTCGAGCCTGGCTGGGGAGAGGCGCAGCGGCATGGTTGGACACCTGGGAGCAGAGGCCGCAGCTGTGACCTCGCAGCAGCTCCACTGTCTGCTGGGCCCTGTGACACCCTGCCCCCTCCCCAGGCAGGGGCGGGGCCAGGCAAATGTCCCCCATCCCGGGATTTGCATAGACACCCCGGGTGCAGGGGAAAGTGCGGGGGAGAAAGTCCCCCAGGGACCTGTGGCCCCCAGCCCCGGAAGCCTGCAGGGGGGGCAGGGAGTGGAGGGGCCTGGTCGCCCCCTGGGGTCAGAGGGGAGTCAGGAGAGGAGGGAGGCAGGGATGGAAGGCTTGGGGTATGTAGTACAGGGCAGGACAAGGAGGGGAAGCCGAGCCATGGCCCGGGAGCCAAGGCCAGAAAGATGAGGTGACAGGAGGTGCCCAAAGAGCCTGACCTTCGGGGACCTGGAGGCCCTGGGGCGGGTGCGGACCCCGGCTCCACGTGCCACCTGCACCAGCACAGGCACGGGCAGCCGTGGGCAGGGCAGGGGGCAGTGCAGGGTGGGGGCCAGGGTGCAGGGTGGTACAGGGGCGCCCACTTACTGTGTAGCCTCCAGGGCAAGCATGGCGGTGCGGTGCGGGGTGCTGGCTGCCTGTACTGCAGCCACAGCAGCACCCCTATATATGCCCTGGCCCAGCCCCGGGGGAGGGGCAAGGGTGCGGGGCCTCCTCAAAAATCCCCGAGGGGAGGGGTCTGGATTGCACAACCCTAGCCCCACAGCAGGCGGGCAGGCCTGGGGGCCATCAGGATTTGGGGATCTCCATGTTTGGAGGTGGGGATGGGGGGGCCTGGCCCTGAGGGGTGCTGGGAGGGGTGTGGGCAGTGGGTGTGCTGAAGAAGTGTTTGCCAGGCTGCAGCGGGTGATGTCTGACGGAGACACGGGGCCAGGGTGTGCCTGGGGGACCTAGTTGACCATGAGGACTGGGAGTGGGGGAACAGTGGAGGTCTGCATGGGCACTGGGCTGGGGCACTGAAGCTGACCATGAGAACCGGGGAGGGGGATGGGGGTCTGCACAAGCACCATGGGGGGGGGGCAGGGGAGGATGGACTGAAGCTGACCATGGGGAGAACGGCAGGGGTCTGGCCAGGGCACTGGGGATCCCCAGCTAAGGCCGACCATCATCACGAGAGGTGGAAAGCTCCGTGGGTGGGAGGTGGCAGGAGGTGGGGGGGGGTCCCCTGGGGATGGCATGGAGTGGAAGCTTGGGGGGCCGGGGCTGCCCCGGGGCTTGGAAAAATCAAGTGAGCACCTGGTACAGCAGTGACCACTGCCCCCCCCCGCAGAAAGGCAGTAGGGGAACAAGCATACCAGGCCTACAGGCCCAAGGGGAGCCTAGGAGCCCCGGTAGGGGGGGCAGGGGGGCCTGGGCTGATGATGCTGGACCACGTTCCCCCCAGAGACCACGCACGACACAGCCCGTAGCGAGAGGTATGAGCTTTATTCCCCGGGCCCGAGCAGCAGTGGGTCACCAGGCCTCAGGCCCCGGCGGCCCGAAGCGGCGCAGCAGCTGCTCCTGCTCCTCCAGGTCCTTGCGCACCTTCTTGCGCATGTAGAAGATGGGGCAGTCCCGGCTGTGGGGGTGATGATGGCGGTCAGGCTGGGCCTGGGGGCACGGGGCAGGGCCGGGCGGTTCCCAGGACTTTGGCCCCTGCCAGCTGCCCACCCCGAGGGGAGGGGGCTGTTTGCCCAGGGGGGAAGGGGGCAGATAACAGCGGGCACTCTGGGCTCTGAGGTGGCCGTATATCACCTGTCACCTGGCGTGGGAACCCGCCCCGCCCACCCGTTCCCTGGGGAAAGCCGGCCCCACCCTGGGGTTGTGGCAAGGGGGGGGAAGCCATTTCCTGCAGGCCCGGGGCCCACCCTGCCGTGCGGGCTGTGCAGCCAGGGTCCTAGGGGGATAGCAGGGGGCGTGGTGCACCTGGTGCAGATGACGTCCTCGTGCAGGCTGCCCTGGCAGCGCTGGCACTGCGTCCAGAGACGGGAAAAGCGCTCCTCCAGGGCATTCAGGTGTGACACCTGGGGACAGCCCGGTTGAGCACAGCTGAGCGCCCCCCCACCCCTCCACCCCACCCCTGCGCCCCACCGGTGCCCCTCACCTCCTTCTGATACAGCTCTGACTCTCGGGGCTGGCAAAACTTGCACACAGCTCCTGGGGTAGGGGGGTTGGGTGATTTGGGGGTGACTGGGGCTGAGCCGGGCTGGCCCCCCCCACCCCTGCCCTTCCCTGCCCGGCCTCTGAAAAGTCCCTGCAGGCTGGAGAACAAGGGTGCGAGTGTGTACGGGGGGGAAAACTCCCCTGGGGAACCCCGGGGTGGGCAGGGACCCCGAGGAGGGCGCGGGCTGAGGTCTCACCCTGATGGCTGAGCACCGTGCGGCAGCCGATGCAGCAAACCCGCCGCGTGGCGAAGGCCAGGAGGCCGCCCACCTTGCCGGTGAGCACCGTCTTGCAGCGTGTGTGGTCGCCCCCTGCACAAGGGTGGGGCATGAGGGACCTGCTTCTCCTCTCAGTAACCCCTAGTGCCCCTCCCCCTTCAGCACCCCCTCACGCACGCAGCAGCACGGCCTCGGCGCGGCCCTCGCCCAGGATGGGCTCGAAGATGCGTGTGAGCGGCTTGGCCAGCTGCTGCTCCAGGTAGTACTGCGTGTCGATGGGCAGGCTGTGCTCCAGCACGAACAGGGGGTCCTGCAGGGATCAGAGGTCACGAGGGGCAGGGGCCACGGGGGGGAGAGGGGAGAGAGGAGCAGGTGGGCTCACCTCAGACTTCATGTAGGCGGCCACGCCCTTGGCTGCACCGATGATGACGTAGGGGACACGGTCCCCCAGGCTGGGCGCGCTCCCGGGGTCGCGCTTCCTCATCCTGCAGGAGAGTGGGCATGGCTGTGGGCTGTGGCGAGCACAGCTGCCAGGAACTGGAGGCTGTAGGCCGAGGTCCCCCCCTCCCTGCACCTCTCAGCCAGCTCCACATGGGCCTGCTTTCCCGCATAGTCTGCCGTAGCACGGGTCAGCTCCTTGGTGATGACCAGCTGTGAGATGTCGATGCGGTTGCACAGCAGGTCCGAGATGACGTCCTTGGCATGGGCTACGGCACCCTCAGGGTCTCTGGGGGGGCGACATCAGAGCTGTCCAGAGCCAGGCTGGGCTGTGGGCTGAGCTGGGGGGGAGGGGCAGGGCGGCGGCCACACACTGCAAGTGTCAGGGCCTGAACTCATTGTCCCCACCGGATGATGGTAGCTGCAGCACAGACCCCTGGGTGTGAGGGAGGAGGTTGGGGTATGGACCTGTGTCTGAGGGAGGAAGCTGGATGGGGTGTGTGTGTGTGTGTGTGTGATAAACCATGTGGGACACACCTGTCCACGAGCAGGCGGCGCAGGGAGGCAGTGACGAGGTTGGCCACCAGGGGGCAGTTGTCCCTGCGCACAGCCTCCAGGCCCTTGCAGTCCATGCGGTCGTGGGCGTCGGGGCGCGAGGAGAAGAGCAGACCTGCATAGCGCTTCTTGCTGATGAGCAGGTAGGGGAAATAGACCTGGGAGGGGTTCAGGTTGGGGACCCCTGAGACTGCAGATCCCCCCTCACTCCTGAGAAGCCCCTCACGCGAGGCAACAACTGCTCCTCAGATGCAGGATGAAGGCAGTGAGGGAAACCCCGAAACCCAGCAAAACAGACCCCAGGATGGTCCCCCACTTAGGGGAGATGTGGCTGAGGGGATGTGGAGCTGGGAGCCCTGGCACCCCACAAAGGAGGCCATGGGCCAGGATGAGCTGTGGCCAGGGCCGCCAAACACCCATGCAGGGGCACCGTGGTGGGTTCTTCAAACCGCCATTTCTGTCCTTGCCTTTCAAGTGCCAGAGGAGCATTTCCCAATCCCAGCCCCCAGTGCTGAAGAAGGGGCAACCAGGGCACCCTAACACGGACAGGCCTTGAGGAGTAGGGCCTCCCAGAGCTTGGGCAGACCAGGGGACCCCATACTACTGCAGACTCAAACCCTGAGAATACCCAAGAACTAGATGACCCCAAACTGGCCAGGCCCACATGGCCGCCCAGCGGTCAGGAACAAACCTTCTCAAACTCCAGCCGGATGGGGGATGGGAAGTGACCGGATACCCAGTCAGCAGCCTCACGCCCCAGGGCCATGGCCTCTGCCACTGAGGACACGCCGAACCGGCACATGACTGAGTCCGTGTCACCGTACACCACCTGGAGGGACACATGTGACCAACTGGGTCCACCCCCCCCGGCAGGTACCTCCCAGTGGAGCAAGCGAGGGGGATACAGGCCAGCTCCTTGCCCAGGGCGGGGGTCCTCACCTTGGCATTGGCGCTGTAGCCGTTGTCCGTGGTGTACTTGGACTCCACCAGCTGCTTGGTCTTCTCAATCATCTGCCGTCCGAAGCCGGTGACGCTCTGTTGGGAAGGGGTAGGGTGGGGGTGGGGTCCTGTGCATGCACTGGCACACACACCTACATGGCTGATGCTCCATCTGTGGCTACTCTCCTCACTTCACACGAGAGGAGCAGGAGGCAGGGGTGGGGTGTGGGGCACTGGGACTCCAAAAGGAGAGCAGCTCTCCCGTTTTCTCCCTGCGCCGGTCATCTCATTAGCTCACACCCACGTGGCATGCTGACACACGTGCTCACATCCACGTGGCGTGGCCCCTCCTCCGCTTCCACTCATGTCCCTTTAAGGGACACAGTTGATGCCACTGCACCCTCAACCTGGCTGGGCTGGGAATGGGGACTCAGCATGTGGTCACCGTGGTCAGGCCCTGGCGCTGCCCATGGGATGGACCCAGAAGACTGAGGCTATGTGACTGGCAGCCTCTTGACTGTGCCACCCCATATGTCCTGAGACAGGACGCCAGGGACCCGCGCCCTGCCACCATGGTGTGCACTACAGTCTTGGCTGGGGCTATGTTTTAATAATTCTTTTTTTTGGTCAATTGTGGGGCTTGAACTCTGGTCCTGGGTGCTGTCCTTGTGCTCTTCAGCTTAAGACGAGAGCTCTACCACTTGAGCCATGGCACTACTTCTGGTTTTCTGGTGGTTAACTGGAGATAAAAGTCTCTCAGACTTTCCTTCCTGGGCTGGCTTTGAACTGTGATCCTCAGATCTCAGCCTCCTGAGTAGCTAGGATTACAGGCGTGAGCCACCAGCACCCGGTTGTGCATAATTCCTAACTGCTCACAAAGCTGTATACGCTTCCCATGACAACTGCAGCCAATCCTGCTGCTCAGTCTCGCCCACTGTCCACTCCACCGCCTGCCCTGAGCAAGTCCTGTTGTCATGAGTGTCCCGCTCCATTCCGAGGGAGCCTCGCCAGGACACAGCTGTTTGGTCACTCTTGTCCCCCTGGGGTGCAGAGCAAAGCCTGACCCACGACACAAGCTCAATGTCTTTGTTGGGACAACCGGCCAAGAGCTTGGGCCTCCCCAGCAGCCTTACACCAGATGCCCAGAGGTGGGGTGACCCCCCCCCACAGCCCATGCTCAGATACTGGGTGACCCCACACAGCCCAGGCCCAGAGGTGGGGGGACACTGAGCAGCCTGTGCCTCCTTCCGCTGGGGTGGCAGGGCTCACCTGTGAGATCTCCAGGCATGGCAACTTGCCCACCTGGGCCCCGGTGAAGCCGTACACGGAGTTGGCGCTCACTTTCAGTGCCAGCTGCCGCCCGTCCAGGACCTGCCGGCGCAGTGGATCTGTCTCCTGAGCCAACTCAGCCTTGGCCCTAGGAGTGGGGAAAGGCAGGGTGAAGGCTACAGCGCCCCGGCTTCTGGGCACTGGCTGTGGTGCTACATATGGCGGGGGAGCTATGCGCAGCATGAGGCCTAGCGTGCATAGGCAGGCACACAGGCGGCTGCGGTGAGGCAGGACCAGGCCTCCATGGGCGTGGCCAGGCAAGGGTGGGGGCCCCGCCCACCTCTTGCGGGCGCTGAGCAGGTTCTCGAGGATCTGGGGCAACAGCCCCTTCCGCACAGATGCCTTCACGAACTCATCCCCGGTGGGCGTCCTGATGAACTGGTCTGCAGCCAGGCTAGGGAGGAGGTGGGCAGCTGGTGGGGTGTTGTTGGGGTACCCATCCTCCCTGTCACCTGCACTCTTTCTGGGCCTGCCAGGCTTGCAGCAGGGGAGCCGTACCCAAGCTTCTGTGCAGCCCCGGGCCGCAGGAGTGTGGTGTAGCACAGGTTGTGGGCCATCATGATGGATGGGTACAGCGAGGAGAAGTCCAGCGTGGCGATGGGCACGTCGTAGTACCTGGGGAGGCCAAGCGGGGTCAGGGCTGGGGCGTCCCGCTCACAGCCCCCTGGTCTCATCCCGGGGCCTCACCCTTTGAGGGGTTCGATGACGGTGGCCCCCGTGTAGTCCTCGCCGCCCTCCGTCTTCACCACGGGCATCAGCAGCCCCTGACACCGCGCCTGGGGGCACAGGCAGTGAGGGGCGCGGGACGTGCACGGCGGGGATGGCCGTCCCAGCACCCTGGCCGCGCCCCTCACCTGCCGCAGCAGCTGGGACACGACCTTGACCTGCTGGCCCCGGGTGAGCAGGTAGCCCAGGGGCACGCCGGTGACGCGCGCCATCTCCACAGCATTCACCAGCACCATGAGCCGCTCGAGCAGCCGCAGCGGCAGGAAGGCGTCCTTCAGGCAGTACACGGCCAGCCGCCGGCGTGTCTGCTCGTTCCCATTCTGCAGACACACAGCACCCACAGGGCAGCACGGTCACGCGGGGCTGGGAGGACGTGGGTGGGGATGGAAGTGGGGGAGGCTGGGACAGAGGTCGGGAAGGCAGCGGTCCAGGCAAGATGGTGGCACTGAGGTCAAGGAGTCAGGTGAGGTGGAAGCAGGTCAAAGCGAGGCCCAGAGGTCAGGAGGGTTAGGGAGATGTCAAGGTCAAGATTTTGGGGTGCAAGATGTCTTGGAGGTGAGGTCAGGGGAGACTGCCATCAGGGAATACAGAGACTGAGATCAAGGTAAAAGGTCAGAGGTTGGGGTCAAGGTCAGGCTCAAGGTCAGGGGTAGGCAGGTGAGAAGTGGGGGCGGGCACCTGTAGGTCAGTGATGATACTGTGCTGCACGTCTTCCTTCTGCTCACCCAGAAAGTGGAAGCTCACGGCATTGAGTGTGTAGGAACGCAGCTTGTACTCCCGGAGCAGCACCTGGGTGGGCAACAACGCCATTGCCAGGCACAGGCCAAGTGGGCGCCCCCCACCCTCACCCTGCCCCCCACACCCCCACCATGCCCCACACCTGCAGCATGTCCATCTGCACGCGGCCCACCATGCTGACCACCTTGCTGTCCCGCCTGCCCATCTGCCTTGACTGGAATGAGGAGTCCCGGATGTTGGAGCGGAGGCCAGCCACGCGGCCCAGCAAGGAGAAGGACTGCACCTGGGGGGACGCAGGGCTGGGCAATGCTGGCAGTGCCAGGGCACAGGGTGGAGAGAGGGCCCCAGTGCAGCAGCTGCTGGGTGGTGCATCCAGGCAGCTGGGCTGGAGTGGGGTGGAGACCAGGGACAAAAGCGGCGCCCAGGTATGATGGGGAGCTATGGATAAGGGGTGCTCAGATGGGTAAGTAGATGAGAGCTGGGCACCAGCAGCTGCAGGCTGGTGGGACACCGTGGCTTGGGCACACACCGGCCCAGGAACAAAGTTTATAAGACTCTTATCTCCAATTAACCACCAGAAAACCAGAAGTGGTGCTGTGGCTCAGTGGCAGAGTGCTAGGCTTGAGCAAAAGAGCTCAGAGAGAGGCCAGGCCCCAAGTTCAAACCCCGTGACCAACAAAATAAATAAGTAAATAAAAAGAAAGAAAATAAAAGTTTACAACTAAAATGGTAGAGCACCTGCGCAAGCAAGCTGGAGGCCAAGTTTAACTTTTTTTTTACTATTATTTTTGCTAGTGTTGGGGCTTGAGCTCAGGGCCTCGGCACTGTCCCTGAGCTTCTTTTGCTCAAGGCTAGCACTTTACCACTTGAGCCACAGCGCCACTTCCAGCATTTTCTGTGTATGTGGCACTGAGGAATTGAACCCAGGGCTTCCTGCATGCGAGGCAAGCACTCTGCCAGAGTCACCTTCCCAATGCTGCCACAAAGAAAAGAAGGAGAAAGAGCCAAGTGTGATAGATAGGCTGAGGAAAGATATGTGAAAGACAAGCAGATGACCAGATGTGGGTCAAGAGTGAGGCCTGCTGGGGCAGACACAGTGACACTCCCCCCTCTGCCCCTCCCCCCCCAACAGATCTAGTTCATTCCGGCAAGGCAGGGAGGGTGTGAAGGATGGTGAATTCCCACCCTGGATCAATTCAATCCTGCTTCCTGCACGCTGGGATTACAATATACCTCACCCAGTTCTTGCTAGTAGTTCTAGGGTTAGGACTGGACACCAAGGGCTTATGGAACCCCTGCGTGCTAAGGGCCAGACTTCTGACACAAGGACTTTTCCATCTAGTGGCAACGCCCTCCTGTCCTAAGGGGACTTTGAGCAGGGCAGGGCTGGCCAGGCTTGGGGCACAGATTCACTGATCCACAGGCACTGGGAGCCTGTCCACTAGCACGGGCCTCACCTTGAGGGTCTGGGCCCTTGAGATGAGGTAGGGGAGGTCGAAGTTCTGAATGTTGTAGCCCGTGATAACATCGGGGTCCATGTTGCGGACGAAGGTGGCCCAGGCCTGGGGGCAGAGCGTGAAGTGTCAGCCTAGCTTTCTGCCCCAGACACCACATTGTCCAAAGTGTTCCCGAAGCCCTCTCAGTGTCCCATGGCCTGGCTGGGTATCGGGGACAGAAGGGGTGTCACCTGCAGCAGGTCCTCTTCGCGCTCATAGCTCTGCACCTTGGCACCCAGGATGGGGGCGCAGGGCCGCAGGGTGAGCGCCAGGCGAAGGAAGGGCTCCGCCTCACCCCAGCGCAGGCCCAGGGAGCAGATCTGGATCACAGGGTCCCGCTCAGGCTCAGGGAAGATGCCTGCAGAGGAGGGGAGGCAGGAGAGGGGTGCAAGGGCCTGACTGCTGCCTCTCCCTCACAACGCCCTAGGTGGCTACATGTCTAGCCCCCTCCGTCCATCCATGGCTCCATCCCTCCCACCACCCCTGCTCCTTCCATGCCAGCCACACAGGCCAGGAGAGTGCAGGGCCTTTGCACTGGCAGTCCCCTGGACTGACTCTGTCCACTGACAGGAGGGGAAGGGAGGGGAGGGGAGGGGAGCAGACCTTTGCGGCCCGCACATTCGATGTCAAAGCTGAGCACGCGCAGGGGCGCGAGGCGCTGCCATGGCCCCTCGGGGGGATGGCTCACCACATCTGTCCACAGCACATCGGCTTCTAGCTGACACAAGGTGGCCTGGGGGGGGGGTGCGTGTTAGTGACAGCAGGGGTTCTGGGGTGCAGCCCCCTTCGAGGGAGACCCCTACCTTCTCGGTAGGCCGCAGGAAGTACTTCCCAGGTGGGAGCTCCAGCCAGTTGCAGCCGACAATGTATGTGTCTACCATGAACCTGGAGGGCGGGCATCAGGTCAGTGGGGAGATGAACATGTGGGGGGGGGGGGGGGGGGGGGGGGGTGGGCAGGGGCCGGGGCCACACCGAATCTCAAAGTCCACGTTGGCCTCATAGGGCGCAAAGCTGGGGGTGCCCAGGCCTGGCACGCGGACGCCCTGCTCCAGGAGGCGGCGGGCAGGTGCCACGAGGCGGGGCAGGGCCAGGGTGATGCGCAGGAATGGGGAGGGGCCGTGTCCGTGGTACCCGAACATGCCTGTGGATAACGGGAAGCTGGCACCAGCCAGCACATTACCCCCCTACCCCCGTCCCCGCAGGGGCCTGAGCTGGAGGACCCCACACTCACTCTCCCGGGAGCACAGCTCCACGGCCAGCACGGGGGGCCCGGTGAGCTGCGCGCCCCCGCGCTGGTCCCGGCTGATGGCTGCACTCAGCTCTCGCTGCAGCTCACTCAGATGCTCAGTGCCAAAACCTGGGATGGAAGAGGCCGGTCAGAGCCAGGGCCCGCAAGGCCTGGACAGGGGGTGGAGGGGGGGTTCCCCAGGTCAGGGGCACACTCACCAGGAGGTGCAGGGGTATAGAAGTAGGGTGCGAAGCCATGGATATGGCAGCACACAGACACGCCCTCATCGGTGACCCCAAAGGCACGGAGCACAGGCACAGAGCCACGGGAGGGTGGGGGTCCCCCTGGCAGGGGTCGTGCTGGACCTGGAGGGGGGGTGTCAGAGAGCAAGGCAGGGAACCTTCAGGTCTTGTGAAGGTCGCCTGAGGTCCACTCCTACAGCCAGCCACTCCCAAGCCCGCAACCACTAGGCTCCCCCCCCCCCCCGAACACTAGTCCACCCCGGCTGCGTACTGCAGCAGAAACACATTGACTGGAGGCCGAACTTGGTGGCTCACACCTGTAATCACAGTTGCCCTAGAAGTAGAGAGAAGAAGATTCTGATTCAAGCCCAGCCCAGGGTTGGTGAGACCTTATCTCAGAAACCCAACTGGACATGGTAAAGTATGCCTATAATCACAGCTACCTAAGGAGAGAGGAGTATAGTTATCAGAGGCTCTGGGCAAATGCAAGAGCTGTTACTTGATGAGTCACTAAAGCAAAAAGGAGCGGGAAGTGTAGCTTTAGTGCAGAGCATGAGCCTCTGACTTCAAATCCCAGTACTGCCAAAATACAAACAGGAAAAAAAAAATCCCATAGTCAAACTGGCTGTCAGCATGTGTGTGGTGTCACGAACGTGAGCGCCCGGAGAGATGGGCCCCAGTGGGGTGGCTTGGCAGGCTGCCCTGGCTACCACCACCTGTGCCCACGGCGCAGCAGGGGCAGGGGCCTGGCTTCTTACTCTGCCCCTGGTCAGCCCTGACACTGCCTCCCCCAACTCACCCACATAATGGTCGATTTCCAGCTGCTGGAAGATGAGGGGCTCTGTCTCGGGGTCCAGTGGGGGTGGGGAGGGCCGTAGCCAGCGGGGATCCACAGCTGTCGAGGGGGACTGGCCTGCATGGGGCAGGGAGCAGGGTTCCATGGCATTATGGGTCTCCCCAGAAGTGACAGCCCTCCTCCCCCGCCACCCATGGCTCCGCAGTGGCCCCATTTACGGGTGGAGGGGGTGATATGGGTCAGGTGGGAGATTTAGGAGCGACTGGGGTTCAGAAAGCTGGACATTGGCGAGCAGTGGGGCCCAGCAACTCAGAAGGCTTAGTTAGAGGACCCCTGGAGTCTAAGAGTTTTACAGCAATGGGGGCCACGTCGTGAGACCCCCATCTCAAACCACTCCAACTTGGAGCAGGGGATGGGGTGGAAGTTCACTGAAGACACCGGAGGCCACAATGGGGACAGATGAGGACTGGGGGAAGGGCGGGAACAACACAGCCCAGAACTCACCATCTGGGGTGCCCTCCAGGGCCTGCTGCAGCTGCTCTTCCTCCTGCTCCCGCAGCCTGTGCTCCGCCTCCATCTCCTCCAGCAGCGCCAAGTCCTCCTCAAACTGGGATGGCGGGGGCTCATCCATGTCCCAGAGGCCCCCTCGTGCCTTCTTCGGGGGCACCTCGGGTCCCAGGCCTTGCCGCCGCTTGCCATCCATCCTGCTGGGCAAGTCGTTGGGGTCCTGATCAGACAGATCCCCCTTCCTGTCTTCCTCACAGCCACCTGCACCCATGGGGACCAGAACTGGGGATGGAGCTCAGGACCCCATGTGTGCTAGGCAAGAGATCTACCCCCAGGAGCCACACCCCCAGCACTTTTCTGCTTAGTTACTCTTCAGGGAGGATTAGAATGAGGGGGAGAGAGAGAGCCTTAAAAGCTGCTTTGGGAGCTGGGCGCCGGTGGCTCATGCCTATAATCCTAGCTACTCAGGAGGCTGAGATCTAAGGATTGTAGTTTGAAGAAAAGTCACTGTGAAACTCTTATCTCTAATTAACCACCGCCCCCCCCCAAAAAAAAGTGGTGCTGTGGCTTAAGTGGTAGAGCACTAACCTTGAGCACAAAGAGGCTCAGGGACAGCGCCCAAGCCGAGTTCAAGCCCCCCAACTGACCAAAAAAAAAAGGAAAAAGAAAAAAGCTGCTCTTGCCAAGCCAGTGAAGGAAAAGCAGAAAAGCCCGCACGCCTGCTCTAGACTGCGTGTAACCTTGCTCTAAGCTGCTCCCTACGGTCCCTGCACAATCACTGCAGAAAGACTGACCAGAACCACTTTACCACAAGGGACCTGACCAAAAGTACACCTAAGGAACACCATCAGAGATGTGGCCTAGAGCAAAAGAAGCTCAGAAACAGCACCCAAGCCCAGAGTTCAAGACCCAAGACCTGGGCCAAAACAAAACAAAACACAGTAGTAAGGAGCCGTGTAAAGGAAGGAGGAACACCGTGTGTGCAGATGTGGAAGCCCGTGCAGAGGAACCGCTCAGGAAGTAAAGCTTTGGGCATGATGGTGTGCTTAGTTTTCACACTTTGTATTATTAAATACAATTCTAGACCCCAATTCTAGTCCCAGAAATAAATCCAAATGGAAGCCTAGCAACTGTTGTGCTAGGCATACATACAACTGTCACTGTGACAACTGAAAAGGAAAAATCTGTGACGATGATGTGAGATGCAGGATCCCAGGAAGGTCCTGGGATATATAAAAAAAAAAAAAAACTGTCAGACACAGTGGCTCACACCTGTAATCCTAGCTACTAAGGAGGCTGAGATCTGAGGATCATAGCTCAAGGCTCAGAAAGTCCATGACTCTTAAGTCTGGTGAAGCAGGAAAACGCCAAAAGTAGAGGCATAACTCAAGATGTAGAGAGCGGTCAAAGGAAAGAGCAGAATGAAAGCACAAGAGTCAAGCCCCAGTTCCAGCACACCAAACACAAAACAGGAGACAGACGTCCTGGGCCTTTGACTACAAGCCAATCTGCACTCCGCACCAGCTCCAGCTCACCGGCCCGGCAGGACCCAGGCCCCCACCAGGTCTCTAACTGCAGGTGCATCGGTGCATCCCGCCCCTGTTCCCGCTGCAGCACAGCTGCTTCCTTCCTACCTCAGGGCCTTTTCACTTGCCAGTGGCTCTCCTGCCCGGCTCTTTCCGGACTTCCAGACTGTTCCTGCTCCGCAGCTGACTCTGGCGTTTCAGCTAGAGAAGCAGAGGGCGCCGGTCCGGACCACCGTGGCGACTTGGTTCTCTTAGTATGAAGTAGAAGGCGGCCCGGTCCGACCCGCCCACTGCCCGCGGCTGCCCACCGCCTCGGCTGGCTCCTAGCGCAGTGCGGCCCCCGGCCCCGCGGCGCCGCCCGCACGCGGAGGGGCCGTCTCCATCCCCGCACGCACCGACTGTTCCCGCGCAGACCACACGCGCCCCCGAGTCCCTTCCGCTTCCCGTCTCATGTGACCCCCGCCCCCAGGCCCAAAAGAACTCTCGGACCTGCGCCCCAGCTCCGCAGTCCCGAGCTCCCTCCTTCCCCACTCACCTGCTTCAAACAGCGTTTCCCGCCACAGCGTACGCCGCCGCGACCTCTGACACCAGCGTGCGCAGGCCCAGAACGGCCGAACGTCGCGCCGGAAAAACAGGACGACGCCACGCCCACGGCCCGTGGTCACGCCCCTCGGACGAGATAGGTCCCGCCCATGACCAATTTAGGATATGACCCCGCCCCTCGCGACGCCCCACGGCCCCGCCCCGCAGCTGAGCAGCGCCGCCGCCCCTCCGGCCCGCGCGCCCCGCCCTCCGGTTCCCGGCCCCGCCCCCTTACTTCCTTCTCCCTCCTCCGACCCTCTCCCTGCTCCCGCCCCCCTTCTGCTCCCGCCCTCTGGCTTCCTCCTCACGCTTCAGCTCCCCCCCACCCCGACCCCCGCCGGCCTCCTCGCCTTCCCGCTCCCGCACACCCTCCGCGCCCCACCGCCTCGGGTCCAGGATCCGGAGAATTCTCGGGTGTGCACTGCCCTGCAGCCTGACCCGACTAACGAGCGCACGGCCTCCCCGCCAGGGTTCTCAGCCTCAGTTTCCCCCAGGGGTACAACCGTGTGGGGCAGCCACTTGGGATAAGGTGGTCATTTCTGACTAGCATGGCTTCTAGAGTCCAGCCCCGGCTCTCCGTGCATCCCCGACCCCCACCCCTGTAGGGGAACCACCGCGGACTCTGCACCCAGGCCCCTAGGCCCTCACCTGGGAGGCCAGCCTACTGCAGGCATCCTCCTCTCCTCCCACCCAGTCCCCCCTAGTCCCCTTGCCGGCTGGCCACCTGGTGGGGGGGGGGTCCTGTCACCAGCAGCCAGCCTGCACACTCAAGACTCGGGGACTGATGTCACCCACACCCAGGGAAGCCCACTCCTCTCTGCTCAGTGCAAGGCTGAAGGGTACTCGTTTTATTTCCTCGTTTTTAGTTTTTATTAAATAAAAGGAACAGAGGGAGGGGGGCTATTGTCTCCTGGGCTGGGGGTGCCAGGAGCCCCTCTCCCTCCGTTCAAGGTGCACTGCATGGTGGGCTTGAGGTGTAAGCTGGCGGGGAGGGCAGCTGGGAAAGGTCAGAGGTTGGGAACCTGTGACCCATCACTCCTCCTGGAAGACTTGGAAGGTTGGGACCCCATGTGGGATGCATACTGAAGGTGGAGGCCTGGCCTGGGTCCTTCCACCCAGGAGGAGGAAGTGCAGGCAGGCGAGGTGGGGGCCAGGGCGGCCGGCCCCCTACTCATGGACGTCCCAGATCTCTGAGAGCAGAGGCGGCAGCTTCTTGTCCTGGAGCCGCAGGGCGAAGACCTGCTCAGAGTGGACGGAGCTGAGTGTGCGCAGGCTCACCAGCTTCATCAGCATGCGTGGGAAGCGGAGCTGGTCCTGCAGGGCGGGACCAGAGGGCAGCTGCTGGCCAGGTCCCTGGATGGACCCACCTGGCCTAGCCCTGGGTCCTACCTGGTGCCTGCTGGCTGCCCACTAGGGGGCAGTGTCTAGGCTGCCTGTGGTCATACCTGCGGCCGCTTGATGCGCGTGTAGGACAGCAGCGCCTCCACGTAGGGCTGCTGCAATTCCTCCACGCGGTGCGGCTCCTGCACGTTGGGCCGGTCTGCAGAGAAGATGTTGATGGCGATGAGCAGAGCATACTCGGCGTCGTCCAGGCCCAGGCGACGCATAGCCCGAGAGAACTCAAATATGGGGTTGATGAACTCCACCTGCAGGCCTGTTGGGGTTGAGGCCACATCAGCACCTGGCCCTGGCTTTCCCACCCAGGGCCTCCAGTGGCCCATCATCGCTGACAGGAATCCTGTCCCTCTCGTCACTGGGGCCAGTAGGTGTGCCTGGCACACAGCAAGTGTGCCATAAACCCTGCTGTTGTGGTGGAATGAGGGCAGGGGTGTGTGCCGCATCCTCCACCCACCCCACCCACCTCACTCCTGCCTGCAGTCTCATCTCTCCCACCTCTTCGAGAAGGCAGGAGCACAGCGCCAAGCAGAGGCCCCACCACTCTGGAGGTAAAACCCAGGCTCACTCAGCCATCAAACAGAAATGAGCCCCTCCTGTGTGCCCAGACCTGGGGTAACAACTGATAAAGCAAAGTCTGCGGGACTTTGGGAGACAGATGAGAAACACAGGTTTCTCCCCAGCTAGGAGACTGTGAGGAGATTTAGTGGGGGGATACCCGGAGGGATCCTAGAGCTGACTCACAATCAAGTGTATATTTCATACATGGGAGGGATGGGGAGGCGGCTTTTTCTTACTGAGAAAACCCTAAGGATAGGCTGGGTGCTAGTGGCTCATGCCTATAATCCTAGCTACTCAGGAGGCTGAGATCTAAGGATTGCTGTTCAAAGCAAGCCCAGGCAGGAAAGTCCATAAGCCTCATATCTCCAGTGAACCGCTAGAAAATTGGAAGTGGAGCTGTGGCTCAGAATGGCAGAGTGCTAATGATCAAAAAAAGCTCAGGGAAGCCAGGTGCCGGTGGCTCACGCCTATAATCCTAGTTACTCAGGAGGCTGAGATCTGAAAATCATGGTTCAAAGCCAGCCCAGGCACAAAAGTCTGTGAGACTCTTATCTCCAATAAATCACTCAGAAAACTGGAAGCGGTGCTGTGGCTCAAGTGGTAGAGTGCTCACCTTGAGCTAAAGAACTAAGGCACAGCACCCAGGCCTAGAGTTCAAGTCCCATGACCGACAAAAAAAAAAAGGAAAACCCCAAGGATGAAGATGGGCACACGCCCAGCCATGTGGCTCACTCCCAGGTCCAACTGCACTGCTGTCTGCCTGGATGGCCCTGTGCCTAGGCAGCGACACAGCTTCCCAGTGGGGGATGATGATCCAGCAGCTTGCCCTAGGACAGAATGGAGTGCTCCTAATTGCCACCCAGATGCTCTAGTGTGGCAGAGCTCCGGGCTGATGCAGCCCCACTGTGCAGCAGGCCACAGGCTGAGACGTAGAACCCCTGGCAGCCTTGCACCTGCGCGGTGGAAGTCGTCCTTGCTGTAAGTGAAGTCCTTCAGGAAGGTGATGCACTCCGTCTCGTGGTTGTAGCGCCGGGCCGTTTCCAATAGCATGATCTGGGGGGGGGGGGAGGGGGGCGTTGCAGGGCAGTCCCTTAGTGGCTGGGCTTTCCCTCTGCTCAGGATCAACCCCTGCCCCTCTGCCACACAGAACTTTGGGTGCCCCTCCCACTCCACACCAGGGGCATGTGGTTCTGTTTAGCGGCACTCGCTAGCTGCTACCTGCCATTCGCTCAAATGTGAATGTCTCTCAACAGCCTCTGGACACGTTCTCTGATGTGGGCACCTCCAGCCCAATTATTCTCTGCCTCAGCTCCGTTTCCCCTTCCCTCCCTGGCTCACAGGAGGCTCGTCCTAGCCTGTTATGATCTGGTCACTGCCTGTGGCATGTCGCACCCATAGTGGGAAGGTCTGAGCTAGCTCTGCACTCTGGCCAGGCTCTGCCCTGAACCACCTCCGCAGTTCCGTGTGCATTTGGGAGAGGGCAGCTCGGTGGTTACCTCGATGGTAGATGCCTTCAGGAGTGCGATCTGGTCCTCCCGGCCCAGCTGCAGGAAGCCAGGCACCTGCTTGGCAAAGTCTACGATCTCCTGGACTGAGATGATGGCCAGCTCCGTGAAGTGGGCAAAGCGCTGTTGGCGGGCGTCTCGGGACTGAGGGTCTGCACCCAGGGGCCAGGGCTGAGACACAGGAGACCTGGGTTACTCCTGGGACCCCTGCACTCTGGGAGAGGATCCTCACCCAGGCCCTTCCCCCTTCCTCCCCCAGCGGAGCACTTTCTCAAGAGCTGGGCCCCTCCCTGACTTTAGCCCACAGGGCAACAACCCTGAGGCTGTGGCAAGGTCAGTACCGTGACTTTGGGCTGATCAGAGAAGGAGCGTTTGTTGCACTGCAACTGGGCAGCCACCAACTGCTGGATCATTAGTTCCTGCGCTGCAGTTAACTGGACGCCCTCGCCTTCCCCGGAGCCCTGGCTACCGGCCTCGGACCCACCAGGTGAAGCCCCAGGCCCAGAGGTCGGGCAGCTGCTGCCCGATGGCTCCACCGGTGGCAGCTGCTGTTGCTGCTGCTGTTTCTGGATCTTCTTCTTCCGGATCTGTTCTTCAGAGAGGACGCCTGTGGGAGACAGTGGGCTGGGTAGAGGCCCAGGTCATCTCCGTCCCTGCCTCTAAACTCCGCCCCTGCACTCACCATCATTCCCCGCCCACCCCGTTCATCAAGCCCTGCCCCACACCATGCGGCACACAGACATCCTCCGGGTACTCACACTGCTCCCGCATCCCAGCCTCCTTGCACTTGCGCAGTCGGCACAACTGGCACTTGCGCCGCATGAAGGCATCCATCTGGCAGGTGCCGCTGCCCCGGCAGGCATAGCGCCCGGCTCCGCCGTGGACCACGCTGCGCCGGAAGAAGCCCTTACAACCTTCACAACTGAGCACGTTGTAGTGGAAGCCGGAGGCCTTGTCCCCGCACACGCGGCACAGCTCATGGCCCAGCATCTTCGGGGCTGGGCCCTTCTTCCGCTTGCGCTCGGGCTCCTCCTCTGCCTCTACAATGACTGCAATGGGTGCACAAAGCCCTGAGACAGGGCCGCAGGGACGAGGAGGAGAGCGCCCAAGGCAAGAAGCAGAGCACAGAGGGCAGGAGGAGGGAGATGGCCGGGCCAGTTAGCAGACCCCAGAGAATGAATCAAACTAGTCAGCATCAGAGAAATGAAGGAAAGCCAAAATACAGCCCCTCCATCTCCCTTCCCAGAGCCCTTTCTGGAGCCCCACACTGGTTCTCATACCCCTGTCCTTGGGCTCTGCATCACCCCCAGTGCAGGCAGAGCCAGCCCCATCAGTGCCTGGGACATCGGGGACTGGACCCTCAGGCCATGGCTCAGGACCCTCCTGCTTTATAGCTGGCGAAGAAGAGGAGGTGCTGGGCTGAGGGGGGCCATTTCCTGAGACAGAGAGGACACAAAGGAGGGAACACTGAGTTTCTCTTGTCACTGGGAGGTGCTGGAGGCCCAGTGGGGAGGAGGGCCACTCACCAGGCAGGGGCTTGTCCCGGGAACTCGTGGTGGGGGAGGACATGGTGGGGTCACGGAGCAGCCTGCAGAATACAGAGATTGAGACTCTAGGGCGGCTGGCCCAACCCCATGGGTCAGGCCAGGTCAGGCCTGTGCAGGTCCTGAGGGGGACCTGAACTACTCTTTCCCTCCTGTAAACTTTTTTTTCTTCTTCATTTTAAGTATTAAAAAAAACTCCACCCCCAACTCTAAGCCAACAGGAACCCTCTCCAAACCATTTCAACAATGCCTGGCCTCTTTTGCTCCAGGTCACCCCAGTTTTAACCCCTGGTCCTGCCCCAGGCCCTGTCCTTCAAGCCCCACCTGCTCCCCTTCCCCAAGTACTAGCCATTCTCTTTCAATCATATTGTTGTCCAGCACACCCCCCCCCGAAGTTTGCCACCTCATACCCTCACTAAGACTCCATCTCCCATCTACTGAGGAAACCCCCTACCATTCTGATCCCATCTCCCCCTGTAAGCTCCTCCCATCTTTCCTTCCGAGTCCCAGCCCACTCCTCCCAGGATCCACCTCAGTCCCACTACAGGCCTGCCCTGCACTTGTCCAACTCCATTTGCGCCCCTCAATATACATTCTGACAATCTACCCCCCTCAGGTCCCACCCCACTTCCCTTAAGGCCGGGCCTTCACCTCCCTCCAGGCCCCACCCACCTCCCTCAGACCCCACCCGCTCCAGCACCGGGCCCCGCCCATCTCCCTCAGGCCCCGCCCCCACCTCGCTCCAGGTCCCGCCCCTCTCCGAACACCAGCGGGAGGCGGGGCTCATGGCTGCGCGCCGGGGGTCTCACGGGCGGTCTTTCCTGGGATCTCCGACTCCCGGTGCCCCAGCAACAGCCAGGGGAGGCGGGAGCTGCAGAGGGAGGGAACGAGGAGACGGAGGCTGAGCGGGGCGGCGCGGACCGCGGCGGGGGCCCGGCCCGGCTCTTCCCGCGCCTCCCCGTCAGTGCACTTGCCTCGGTCCCCGGGCTCGGCTTCCCCGCAGGTCCTGATGCGCCACCGCCCCTGCGTCCCGCCAAAAGTCACTTCGGGGGTCTTGGCTCGCAGGTAGAGCGCTTGTCCAGCAGAGTACGCCGAGTCCTAGGTTCGAACCCCAACGGGGCAAAAGAAAAAAAAAAAAAAGGAGGAAAAGTAACTTCGCCACTTCTTCCGGCAACCCCGCCGAGCGTCAGTTCCGGAAGGGGGCGGGTCGTGAGACGTGACGGACTTCCGGTCCGCCGCGGCGCCGCGGACGTGGTGCGCCCGCCGGAAGTGGTGCGCCCGCCGGAAGTGGGTGCAGCCGGCGACCCTGAAGCGGCGTTGCGCTGCCCGGGCTTTAGCCTGGTGCTGAGCCGTGGGCCGGCCGTTCCCCCCCACCCCACCCCGAGACCCCTGAGGCTCGTCGGCTGTCCGTGCACTCCCCGGGGTTCGCGGCCAGAGATTTACTCAGGAAAACCTTCTCACCCTGGCGGCTTTCCCCACGGCACCGTTTTGGAAGTTGATTTCCGTCTTTGTTTTTTGTCTTTTGCATGTTAGTTTTAGGTTTTAGCCAAGTTAAATGACACGTATGGGGCACGATTTTTTTTTTTTTTGTAATCCTAGGGATTGAATACTGGCGCAGATAGGTGAAAATTTGTCGAAACCCCCCCCTTCAATAATCAGGTGTTCGTCAGCGTATGTTCATGCTTTTGATTGGTCGATTGGTCAATTTTTTTTTTCACGGTTGAAAATTGGACCCACCGGACCCTTCTCAGATTAGACAAATGCACTACCATTGAGCCCCATGCGGACTTTTTTTTCCCAAAGGTGCGTGATACTTTATGAGACTGGGCCTGGCATGGCAGCCCAAGCGGCCTGGAACTCGATCCTCCGGCTTCAGCTTTCCTGAGTGCTGGGATTACAGCTGTGGACCACCTAGCTGAGCATTCACCAAAAACCATCCGGTGTCCTTGGGTGCATAAGTAGACTACATTTCTCAGAGGAGTGTGTAGCTAGGTGCGATCACGATCACGTGACTAGGTTCCCGCCAATGAGAATGCAGCAAGAGTAACGCCCTGAGAGAGGGGTCTGTGCGGGTTACTGTGTTGTGAACTCAAGATCTGAGTTCAAATCCCCACTAAGGCTTGCCTGGGGGTGGGAGTGGTGTCGGGGGTTGAGCATTACCTATCAAGTGAGTCGTAGAGGCTGCTTGTTTAATCCTCATTAACGGGGGGGGGGGAATCACCAAGTGTCCTGGGATGCTGGTAACACATAGACAATAGTCCTTCTTTTTAATTAAAACTAAAAATAGGGGTTTGGGAGTCTTGGCTCAGTAGATTGAGCTCCAGCCAATGAGTGTCAGGCATCGAGTTTGAGTGTTGATGTCAGCCAATAAAAAGAAAAGAGAGTTAAAGTTGGCTGAAAGAAACACATGAGGAAATGTTCACCATCCCTGGTTGTAAAGGAAATGCAAATAAAGACAACCCTGAGATACCACCTTACCCCAGTCAGCCAATGACAAATCCTGGAGGGGATGCAGAGAAAGAAGAACCTTATTTCACTGCTGGTGGGAATGTACACTTACACAACCACCTTGGAAAGCAGTATGGAAGATCCTCAGAAAGCTAAATATTGACCTCCTCTATGACCCAGCCATACCACTCCTAGGCATCTACCCTGAACAACAGGAACCAGGATACAAAGACACATGCATCTCGATGTTTATTGCAGCTCTGTTTACAATAACCAGGATATATAAACAACCCAGATGCCCCATCACAGATGAATGGATCCAAAAATTGTGGTATCTATACTCAAAGGAATATTATGCAGCCACTAGAAAGGACAAAATAATGGTATTTGCAGGAAAATGGAACTAGAAGAAATCATGTTGAGTGAGGTAAGCCAAGAGCAAAGAGACAAATGGCACATGGTCTCTCTGATAAGCGGATATTAAATCCAAAAGGTAAGGTGATACAACAAAGTTAACAAGACTTGAGAAACAAAGGACCTCCACTCATCTGGTTGAATCATGACTAAATAACCCCATGCTTCTGATCACATATATGGTATATATGTGCACAACGGAGGACACAGAACTAAAGGGAATCAGGAAAAACACAACAGTGGGACCCATCAGCTGCACTGGACATTGATCAAAATGAACTAAGCAACTCAATTGCAGCAATGGGAGGGAGGGAACAAGTGGGAAAGAGGGAACAGTTGACACTATGCAAAAGGAAAGAAATGTACACATCACCCGATGTGGAAGAAATAACTGTATTGTTAAAGCTCATAGAACTCATAAATGTTATAGACCACAATAGACAATTTGCCATGTGAAAGTTAGGATGTGTTTGTGACTTTAACTAAGCATCACTATCCCACAACACTGTGAAATTTGTGAAATTATGTAATCACTTAATCACAATAAAGAATTTGCAAAAAAATTAAGTTGTTCAGTTGGAAAACATCTTTTTAAAACAAATTGTTGGGCTGGGAATGTGGCTTTGAGGTAGAGTGCTTACCTCGCAAGCATGAAACCCTAGGTTCGATTCCTCAGCATGACATACACAGAAAAAGCTGGAAGTGGTGCTGTGGCTCAAGTGGTGTCGTGCTAGCCTTGAGCAAAAGTAGCTCAGAGACAGTGCCCAAGCCCTGAGTTCAAGCCCCAGAACTGACACCAATAAATAAATAAATAAATTTTTAAAAATTTAATCACATTAAGCCAGGCGCTGGTGGCTCACTCCTGTAATCCTAGCTACTCAGGAGGCTGAGATCTGAGAATCTCGGTTCAAAGCCAGCCCAGGCAGGAAAGACCGTGAGACTCCTATCTCCAATAAACCACTAGAAAACCGGAAGTGGCGCTGTAGCTCAAGTGGTAGAGCGCTCGCCTTGAGCTGAAGAGCTGAGGGACAGTGCCCAGGCCCAGAGTTCAAGCCCCATGGCCGACCAAAAAAAAAAAAAATTTAATCACATCGTGAGGCCACCGGGGACATGGAGAACCAGAAAAGTCAGGCCCGCACCCTCTCCTCGTCGGGCTGATGGTGGAGGCGAACCATCCCTAGCGATCAGGCCGAGGGCGGCTGTGTCCTGGTCCGTGTCTCTCCCCCACCCCCCACTGCCCCACAGCCTGGTTGAGGGGAGCACCCTGGTTGATGCTTGGAGCGACCCGCGGGAGCGCGGGCCCACACCGCCCCCTGGTGTCTATCCCGGGTTGTGCAGGCAGGAGCGACCCAGTGGGTTCTAGCTGCTGGGGTGAGGGGTGGGGGTCACCGAGGGACAGGTAGGGGGTGGGGACGATGCCCAGAGCCGCCTTCATGGAGGACACCACAGGGGACAGGAAAGACCCCACTCAGAGGCCAGCAGGAAGCAGAGACCACAGGGGAAAACTTAATGACAGCTGTCGATGAATCCAAAGCCTGTGGTGGCTATCTGGGGCTCTTGATTGTCTTTAAGGACAGCTGAGGAAAAGAAAAAGGCTGACAAATCCTGTGGACCCTAGGGGTCCACTCCTGACACCACCAGACGGAAGGCAATCCCACCAACACCGACTTGACTCATTATTGACTTTGACTGTGGTTTGTTTAGATGATCTAAATTGCTTTCAACCTACAGGAAGAAAAAGGTTTTGTGCATTTACTATGGTGTACCTCCACATAGCAGAAGACAACTGTAACAAAAATACTCTGGAAGCCAGGCCCCAGACTCACTCCTGTCATCCTAGCTACTCAGGAAGCTGAGAGCTGAGGCTGCCAGTTCAAAGCCAGCCCCGGCAGGAAAACCTGTAAGACTCTTAACTCCAATGAACCAGCAGAAAAGCCAAAATTGGAGCTGTTGCAAGTGGAGCCTTGAGAGGAAAAGGTGAGTGAGAGTGTGAGGTTCTGAGATCAACTGTCACACACACACCCAGCCCTCTACCCCCCCCCACACACACAGTCCGAGACATGGCTGGGCCTCATAGCAAGATCTTGTCTGAAAACAACAACACAAAACCCAGAAAGCAAAACCATCAAGCAACAACAGGAAATCTCGGGGGGTCCTAAGACCGGCAGACATGCCAACATGCAAGGCCAGGTGTCTAGTGTGGTTATTTCCTTTCCTCTCCAGACTTACACAAACCCCAGCTTGCCTGCCTGCCTTCCTCTTTTTCTTTCTTTCTTCTGTTCTTGTGGTTGAACTCAAATCCTCGGGCTAGCTAGGAAAAGAATCTACCCCTAAGCCCCCTCTACAGTCCCTTTGCTTTTAGGGTGGGTTTTTGTTTTGTTTGGGTCATTTGTTTGTTTTCCAGATAGGCTCTCTCCCTGATCTGCCCAGACTGGCCTCAAACAGTAATCCTCTTGCCTCTGCCTCCCAAGTAGCTCACATGAGTCTGGTACCACTCCACCTGGCCAGCCTCTGCCTTTGAAGAGGCCCAAGAAAACACTTGTGGTTAATGAGTCTCAGAAAACTGAAGTGAAACTTCAAATTAAAAGTGGCAGAGCCTCCTTTTGTAGAGGTTCAAAGAAGGTGGGGGGCTGGGGGTGCAGAGAGGGTTGAAGAGGTCCCAGCCCTGCCTCTCTAAGGGAAGTGACCCTCCAGGACATGGGGGAACGGCTTCTGGCTGTCCATTAAAAGTGCTCAGCGCAAATCTGTAAACACCATTCTCTCAGAGGCTCTGGTCATCTCTGAAACCTGCTGGTGGGGTGCAAAGAGAGCAGAGCCTCGGGGTAAAGAAGGGAAGCCACAGGCACACAAGGGCCACTCCCAGACCCCCAGAGATGTCACCATTGCTGCTGCTGTCACCACTCCTGCTGCTGCTGAACTTGGATCCCACACAGGCCTCGCTGATCCGGTATGGTGACCCCTACCCCCAACATAACAGATCCTAAGACCCTTTCCCCCATAGTAGGTTGGGAAAGGTAGTGCCTACCTGTAATCCCAGAGACTGGATTACAGGCAACTTTGAACTGGAGGCAGCAAGATCTTGAGTTCAAGCCTAACTAGGGTAAAGTTAGCAAGAACCTGTATCAAAAAAATTAGGTGGGGGGGGGGAGTAAAACCATCTGGACACAGTGGCTCAGACCTGTCATTCTAGCTACTTGGGAGGCTGAAGTCAGGAAAATCACAAATGGAGGCAAGCTAGCTAGATCCCGTCTTAACTAATCAACTGGGTGCAGTGATGCCTATCATCCCAGCTAAGATGAGGAGTGTTAACATGACTTTGCCCACACTTACGTGGGCAAACATCAAAGATCCTACTTTTTAAAGTGACAGTAAATGGCAATACCAATGGCTCAAGCCTATAATCCTAGCTACTCAGGAGGATGAGATATGAGGATCACAGGTTGAAGCCAGCCAGGGCAGGAAAGTCTGTGAGATGCTTATCTCCAATTGACCACCAGAAAACCAAGGGGTAGAATGGCTCCAAGGGGTAGAGTACTAACCTTGAGCACAAAATCTCAAGCACAGTGCCCAGGCCCTGAGTTCAAACCCAATGACCACCAACAACAAAAAGACAGTAAAAAGGACTGAGGGCCATGTTCAATTGGTAAAGCACCTGCCTGGCATGCTGGAGACCCTGTTTCAATCCTCATAACCACAGTAGGCAAAGAAAAAGTTTTGAGAACCCCCCCCTTGCTCTGGTGCCTACCCCAATCTCTCCCCTCCTCTTCCTCATTTCTCAGCTCTTGAATGGAAGGGGGGAGCTTACTGGGAAACTAGTAAATGTGTCCACATTTCATTTCTGGCCTCTCCAGATGACATCCTGGTTTGGGGAAGGGTGCCAAGCCTGCAGGGCAGGTACAAAATTCTCCTGGCATGAGATGTTTGCTAATCAACCTTTTGAACCCAATCCACTGTGGCCATTTCCTCAACAAAGGGAAGAACAGAGTGTTTCAGAATGTCTGAGGCTGGCACTTAGCAGCCCCTCAACCCAGGAGCTGTTCTCATCCCACACCTGCCCACTAGGAAGCTCAAAGGTTTGAGTTTGTACAGCTCTCTGGACCAGGGTTGGCAAACACTCAGCTCAAAGGTCCAGTCCAGCCCAACCTCCATTTGCATGTGCCTGCCCCTTCATCTGAATACACCTGCCTTCATTTGCATAGGCCTGCCCTTTCATTTGCATGCATCCCCTAGTGGCTTGCTGCTCAGGGGACAGTTAACTTATCACCAATGTGGAATCTTCACAAGGAATTTGGTACAACATCCTCTGTTTCAGGTTCAGGTGGTTTTACTTACTGTGCCAATACTGGGACTTGAACTCAGGGCTTGAGCACTGATCCTCAGCTGGTGTTATTCTACCACCTGAGCCACACCAGAATTTGTTTTCACACACATACATATATGTAGATGCTGTTCTTGTTTGGAGACTTGGGCCTAGGCACTGTCCAGGAGCTCTTCAGCTCAAGGTTGAGCACTCTACCACTTGAGCCACAGTACCACTTCCAGCTTTTTCTGTGTATGTGGTACTGAGGAATTGAACCCAGGGCTTCATGCTTGCTAGACAAGCACTCTACCACTAAACCCATTCCCAGCCTTGGTATGTCTTTTATTTATAGGTGTGGAGGGGTGGTGTGTAGAGAAGTTAAAAACTTTCACATCTCACTTGATAGTATTTTTCTCTTGGAAAAACTTGCTTCCTTTCCGAGTTATCGACAGACACATTTTCCTGGCTCCCAGAGATCCTATGATTTCAGAATCTTGATGTGGAGTCCTTGGGTGTCCAATGGGAGCGGTGCCACACCCACTGCTTTCCAAGTGGAGGGGAAAGGAGACCCACCATGCGAAGCAAAGCCTAGAAGGTTCTTCAGCCTAGAGCTGTCATCAGGGCTGGACTAGGGAGCACCCGGATTCCTTGGGAATAGCTTAGGGGGGATGAATCTGGTATGGGGGGTTGCTCCTCTGAATCTTGGGGGATTCCTGTCTTCGGTATTAATTAAACATAGATGGACATTAAATGGAAGGTTGTTACAGCAGCCTTCTGGGCAATGTCAGCCAAGGTGGGGGGGGGGCTGCTACCTTGCCTGGCTGGGCCATCTTCTGCCGAGGGTCCCCAGGAAGGGTAGGCTCCTCGCTCTCAACTTGCTCTTTCCTTCCAGGGTCCCTCTTCACAGAATGCCCCCTGGACCCAGGACCCTGAACCCACCCAGAGCCTGGGGCCGGGCAGCGGCGGCCCTGGGACTGGGGGGCCCAGCCCCTAGGGACAAGCCCACCTTGGTGTCTCTCTCCAACTACATGAACGTGAGCCGCAGCGCCGCAGCCCCTGACCCCCAGGCCCGCAGGTCACACTTGCCCTTCACCCCGCATCCTCTTGTGCCACAGGCCCAGTACTTCGGGGAGATCGGGCTGGGGACGCCCCCACAAAACTTCTCTGTGGTCTTCGACACCGGCTCCTCGAACTTCTGGGTCCCGTCCAGGACCTGCTCTTTCTTCAGCCTGCCCTGCTGTGAGCCAGGGGCGCAGGCCGGATGGGGGGGGGGACGGAGCGGGTACCAGCCTGAGCTCACCGATGACCTCTCAGGAGGCCTGGGGGTGGGGAGGTTCCAGTCCCCGGTCACACCCCCGTGATCTGATTTAGGGTTCCACCGCCGATTCGATGCCAAAGCCTCCAGCTCCTTCCGGCCCAATGGGACCAAGTTTGCCATTCAGTATGGGACGGGGCGGCTGGACGGGATCCTGAGTGAGGACAAGCTGACTGTGCGTCCCTCCAGCCCCTAAACCCTTTAAAGTCTGGGAGCCTCTGGTGCAGGGGGCGGGGCCGCTTTGAAAGGGGCGGGGCTTCACCTTGATGGGCAGGGCCACCTGTAGCACAGGGGGCTGTCAAGGGTGGAGCTTCAGGGGCGGGGCCACTTGAGTGCTGGGCGTGGCCAACAAGAAGGCGGGCTTCCTTGATAGGGGGCGTGGCTTCTCTGGCAGCCAGACATTTTCCTAGGCAGGTGAGGCCTGTGGCAGAGGCCTCCAAACCTCTTTCTTTTGCGCCTTAATTCGGGGCTTCTCAGGAAAATGTGAGAATCGTTCTCTCAGCAGCCACTGTGGGTTTTTCCCCCACTTCTGCATTCACCTAGATTGGGGGGATCGCAGGAGCATCGGTGACTTTTGGAGAGGCTCTGTGGCAACCCAGTATGGTCTTCACTTTGGGCCACTTTGATGGGATTCTGGGCCTCGGTTTCCCCAGTCTGGCGGTTGGAGGAGTTCAACCCCCACTGGACGCTCTGGTGAAGCAAGGGCTCCTGAAGAAGCCAGTCTTCTCCTTTTACCTCAACAGGTACTGGGGCAGGGCTGGGGTGTCCTCTACAGTGGGCCCCAGGAAGGAAGAGCTGTCCCCTACTGGAAATCTTACCCAGTGCAGGAAGCCCCATCTCCAGTCAGGAAACAACACACAGGAAGTTTCCATATCCATTCAAGAAACCACTTACCCGAGATAAATACACCTGACCTCCCTTAGAAGGTCCCCAGGGCTGCCAACTCAGGACATACTAAAGGAAGTCACTACGGTTCAAAGTCAGACAGGAAAACACACAGTCAAGTCCTCCTCTTAGAACTCCTCTCTTGAGGGGCTGGGTAGGTGGCTCAGTGGTAAAGTGCTTGCCTTGCATGCCTGAGGCCCTGGGTTCGATTCCTCAGCACCACATAATAAAAAAAAAAAAAGCAGGGGGGCTGGGAAGGTGGCTCAGTGGTAGAGCGCTTGCCTTGCATGCTCGAGGCCCTGGGTTTGATTCCTCAGCACCACATAAG